TGGCTCCTGTTCCTACGAAGTGAAGCCAAGGTCACAACTTCCATTGTTTTTTTCCACCTTTATATCTTTATTACTGCAATGTTTGTAGGAAAAAGAAAAGGCAGAATTGCCATTGCCACAATGTATTGGTCTCATCTGCTTCCACTACCTCCCGTAACCCTGGTCGGCACCACTGAGTGTCACCGTGCCTCCTCTCTCTGGTTATACCCCTGGTCCTTTCCCCCTTTTGGCATTCAGGTAGCTCATTCCAGCAGTGCTTGGTCTTCTGTCCTGCTGGCCACACCAATTTTGGAGGTTGTCAGTGAGAGCGAGCCAGTGTGGTTTGGCATGTTGGTAACTACTCTCTCACTCCAGCTTCCTTTGAAGAGAGAGTTGTTGGACTCGGGGGAGCCCCAGTCATCTCTTCTGGCTCAATGGGAAACAACTCCACAGCGGTTATTCTCTGGAACCCAAACCGAAATGGGAATGGCAGGCAATCTGGGGCTGGAGGTGTCAGGTTTCCTTTATCTGAAAAATTCACATTGCTGCTGATGTTTGGCAACCGCACTCTGGCTTCTTACCAAGGGGATCTTTGCATAAGCCTCTGAATTTGCAAAATGCATATTTTTGGATTGCCACAAGGATGTTTCACAGGCAATTTTTGTGCTCTTTGTAAAGTCAGTATGGGTCCGTTAGTAATTCAAGATAATGCTTCTTGAGTTGTCAGCAGTAGCCAAGGCTTTTAGAATCGTAGAGTCATAGAATGGAATGGGCTGGAAGGGACCTTAAAGATCATCTAGTTCCAACCTCCCTCCAACACCTCACCCATGCTGGTTGCTTTCTTCGGGTACAGGGCTGGGGAGGGGAAATGATCGGTTAAGCTCAGGGAGGCTCAGAGCCACAGTTCACCCCTTTCCTTGGGTTTAGCGTGGTTGTAGCACGCTCAGTCTCCGGTGAATCAGCCAGAGTAACGGGTGACATGAGTCCGGTTCCCGGCATTAACTGGGGCAGTGCTTGAACCAGTGTTAGCCAAAGCCTTGCTCCTTCAGAATGGGTTTGCTGCCTTTGAACTCCTCCTGGCTCGGCGTGGGCTTGTGCTGTGGCGGGGGCTGGAGCCAGCCTGGCTCTCCCAGGCCACACAACGCCCTGAGCCTGCGTCATCCTTTGCGCCAGCCTTGGCCTCCGGCAATTCCAGTTGTGGGTTCCTCCTTTTCATTTTCCCAGGGCTTGCTTGCTTAATAGACAAGTGTGATCTCAAGAAGAGTCACACTCTGTAACATGGCAGCTCTCACGGCATGCCTGTGCAAGCACAGCCAATTCACCTCGACCAACGGGAGGGGATGTCTCCTAGGTGGAGTGGGATATCCCCTTTGAAAGCCTGGGGGCTTGCTGGAAAAGGAAGGTTGGACAACACTGCGACAGAGTCTAGAGCCATCAAGAAAGCCCATCCAAATTATTTTCTTCCTCAGAGCAGAGGAGTCGCTCCATCCCTGAATGCCAAGTGACTTAAATTTTTGTGTCCACCACATTAGACTTTCCAGAGAGCCCCTGAGATGTTTTTTCTTGCAGTGAAACATGGATGCATCTCTTTCTGTTTGGAGATTATCCTGATAGAAAACAGAATGTGTTGGAACTTGCTACTCAGTATGCAGAAGCAGATATGCTTTTGTTGGTTGGAGCTGGTTCTTTCCAGCTGGAACTGTGTTTGTAGCTATCTGCTACCTGCAGAGCAGATATTCAGAGTTTTGTTGGTATTTGCTAGGCACAATGGAGTTACTGAAGCACCCAGAAATGGTGCTTCATTTGGTGGAGCTGTGTTAAATCTCCATTAGCCTCAAGGACCTCAGGGCTGATTTCCAGGTGATGATCGGCGCGTGGTGTCCTTCTTCAAGTCCCACGATGTAGATGGTCACAAGGGCCTTTGAAACCAGAAAGAAGTGTATTGCAAGGAGTGTATTTCTTTGACATTCTATGTGATACTTGTGCAGTCATCTGCCACCCATTTTCATTCCTCCTCATTAATTTTGTTTTCTTGGTTTGTAGATTGAGGGGGAAATAAGTGTTCCCAGGCAGGGTCAGGGCCACAAATACTGATAAGGGAAAAAAACCTCCCCAGTTCCAGCTGCTTATGACTCCCAGTTTTACAGTACTGGTAGGTGTGTGAAATCCCACAAGCTCCCATTACTGGTCAGTAACTTCATTTAAGTTGACACGGTGTAACTGGAACAATGTCCTTCAGCTTTCGGCTGTTTTTATTGTATTTCTGTTCCTGTCCAAATGCAGTTTACAGGTATTCAGGTTCCAATTCTTCCAGGTTTTTATGTTAGAAAATTATAATCATCCCTCATTATTTTCTACTCAAAATGCATGTATTTTAAAGTAAGTATAGTCGCTTAAATATTTAGCCTTCCCATCTGAATGGCAAAAAGGCCAGTTAGGTTTGATATAAAAGTTACATTAAGTTGCAAATTAACATTGTTTTAGTGGTTACTGGTAAATGAGAGCCTGGTAGTTGATGTAGAAATGCAAAACAAAGGGGATTCAAAATTAATTATTTAAATCAGCCTGTCCTATTACATTATTTAAACCAGAATATAAATCTACCTAGCATGGGTTTGTTGAATCAAACAGGCATCTCTCAATTGTGGATTTACCAGAATAAATTACAATTGAAAAAAAATTATGATATCTGATCAAGATTGTAATCTATAATATTTATGATTTCTACAAATATTTGATTTGATGGGAACCAAACTGGTGCTGCCATTGCCAAAAGCCAATCCTCATCATTTATTTTGTGGTCGTATAAATTTTCCTTCGCCTGCTTCTTTAGTGGTATCCCAAATTGTAACTCTTTTTAATGGTCAACCTCTCTTGGCTTGGATTTTCCCGTGCCTGAGGTCCACAATGCTGATTTAGCAGAACAAAAACTTTGAAGATATTTCCTTTTCTCTGTGCTGTTTATTATATCCTTTGCTTTGCGTGTAGACCGAGCTCTGAAGCTTAGGTCAACAAGAAACCACCGCTGTGGTCAGGCTGGCTCATGGGAAGTGGCACTCAGATGGTTTGTTGTTCCCTTGGGTCCGAGGTCATTCCCACAGGTCGGGCTGGCAACTTCTGGCTTTTGAAATCCGTGTAGATACCTCTCAAGTAACGCGTCCTTTCGACAGGTACCTGCATCTGCACGCTGGTGGTGGTGGTTACTCTAGGCTGGCTGAGCTGTCCTTTGAGGAGAACTAGGGTGGGTTCAGCGTTTGCTCGGACCGATTGGGTTTGAGATTTACCAAGCCAGACATCAACAACTTGTCAGCTATAAAGAGAACATGAAATAATATTTTTGTGTTCTTTTTTTACTTTATAAAGTGAAATAAGTGCTCCAAGAAAGTTTCTGTGTTTGTTTATTCACTTCCTTAAAACCTTGGAATCCAGACCTATAAATACAGACTGACTGCATGTTTACGATTATGATCGCTCTCACGTGAATTGATTGACACTACTTTGAAAAGAAAAAGGTATTAAGATGTATCTAGATCCACAGGGAAAGATTAATATTCTTCTTGTTAGAATATGTTACTTCTGTACATAAGGGAAAACCAGTGTGAAAGTATCAACCTCTCTCACTTTTCTAAAACTAGGAAGCCTGTTTGCCAGCTCTTACAGAAGTGAAAGGAAAGAATTTGCAACCAGACTTAAGAGGTGTAGCTTTTCACAAAGTTAGCAGCTATATCACAGTCTTAATAGTAGTTGGGTGTTGGCCTTAAATAAAGAGTCTGCATTTCTTACAAACAATCATGGCCTGATAGTTAATAATTCTTTTTTTTATTGGGGATTTTTAATGTCATTTCTGTACTGCAGATTTCTAGCTGGAGTTTTACCCTAATTCTTTGTAGAAGCTGATGTAGGTTTAGTAATCCATGTGAATTTTCTTAAGAAATATAAACCACTCTTTAGATTTCAATTTGCAAATTATCCCTGAATTTCATCTGCAGCTGAATGTAACCAATTTAGAAAACTATATATATATATATAAAGAAATACCCTTTATTCAAACTTGAAAAAATAGAAGAGGTAAGAATTATGTTTCAAAGTCTATGTTTACAAATCTAAATCAATGATTTGTTTTTTCTTAAATGTTCAGGATGCAGAAAATTTACTGTTTTGTGTATTATGTTGGAATATGATGCCATGGCTTTAAGTGACTCAGAATGGTGTAAAACCTAAAAGTTAAATTTAAAACATTATTTATTTATAAACCAGAAACGCATCCAAATATATTTGCGTCTTTCAGATTTTTTAACTGTGACAATGCACTTTTGATTTACATTCCTTTTTGCTGAATAAAATGGCTTCATTTCATTATATAGTATTAAAACAAATATTTTATATAAAGCTAAGCCGGATGCTTTTAGGCAAACATTGTTTTTGCCTTGACATCCATGCAAAAATGCTTCCCACTTAAAGGAAAGCGGTTGAAGGAATTTGGATTGGGTAATTTAGGTTGAACTGTTGAAAGTGAAGTTGCTTGCTTAGGCATCGATCCAGTCAAAACTCATGCACATCTTTAACGTTCTGCAGTCTGCATAGCCTGTGAGACCTCTACTGACATGGATAAAGTAACGAGCGTGCAACATCCTTCCCGAGTTGGATGTACGTACCCTCCCATCCCGTGCACGCGAATTAAGCGTGTGTTTAAGTGTGGTTGCAAATAGAACACCTGGGGCTCCTCAGAGGTTACCTGATCGCCCCAAAATCCCCAGCTGGCGGTCAAAAGTGAGATTTCCTTTCTCGTCTTTGCCTATGCATGAGGAGGAAAAAAAAAAAAAAGAAAAGAAAAAAAAAAAAAAAAAGGGAACGTTTTGTTGCTTTTAATATGAGCTTCATTGGATTGGTTTGTCTCACCAGTGCAGTTGTGACGCAGTGTTGTGTTTTATCAGTGCCCACCCCCAGCAGAATTCTTTGCTTAAGAGGAGGCAGATTTTCACCTACTGAATAAGACTCTGGACTGGCATTGATGCTTCTCGGTGTTGTCTTGTGTGCTCTCCTGTGCCAGAGTGAATTTTATCCCCGGACTGCCTGGTGTAAGTTATAGACCTCTTTCTACCCTCTGGAAGTTTGCATGTTCAGATGTGACTGTGCTGAATGATAGGATGTCTATTTTAGACTTCAGCCTGTATTTACAACCAGGAGGGCAAATCGCTGGAAGAACTTAGCTCCTTTTTCTTTTGAAACAACTTTTAAATATTGGGTGAGTTTTAAAGATTTCTCTGCATGATTTTCTTTTGTAAAACATGTTTTCCATAACCATGAACACTTGTTTTCTCTGAATGGATCTTAAAAATCTCTGGTGTTGAATCATAAAAACCACTTGCTTGTTAGAAAGACTTTGTTCAGTCACTGAAAGATCAAATTGTCCTCTAGTTAGAGAAACAGATATTTATCAGCAAATGCACAACAAGGACTTGTTGATACTTTACCTATCTTACCTCTTTGTAGAATTGCTGTTTAAACATGACTGCTGTCTGTGTTTTTAGTGAATGTTTTCAGCCACAGAATCTCGTGCTAAATATTTTATATGCATTTTTGACCTTTCAGTGGTGAGAACAGAGGTTGATAGGGACTAAGAAAAGGAAGCATCATCTGGAAGTTCTGGGGGCTGACGGTGACAGTCCCTCTCTGCAGTATTAAACTAGATGGGAGTCCTTGGAAAGCTATCAACTTCAGTCTTGTTTCCATATCAAGTAGCAGCACGAAGTACGCTTAAACAGATTGCGAACATGTTAAAATAGGAACTGATTGATACAAAACCTGCTTCTGCGGATGCAGTAATTGATTTTTTTGTTTTTTTTAAGTAAGTTGCGGGTGCATTTTGTGTACTGGAGCATTAAACTTGCATCATGCTTGGCCTTGTGACAAGTCCTGTGCATGTAATTTAGAGCCATATAGGGATGTTCTTAGTCTTGAACCACTTGAATTCATACCACCTTTCATATCATGAGTGTAATATTAGTAATTTAAAGTAGACAATTTGCAAGCCTTGTGGCCTGAGCACGAACTGGAAATGATAAGGACTATCGATGTGAGCGATGTTAGTAACTTTGGCTATAAATCAAGCTTGATTTCTATGCAGTGCTGCGTTTAGTACCAATAGGCTGGAATGCCAGATCTGGTATGAGTTTATACACGTGGGTGGGAAGCCTAACAGATTGGTTTTATATAAAGAACAACACACAGAATTGGAGAGGTATGGAATAACCTCCTAGAAGCTGCTGTCTGGTAAGCATTTTGGACAGACTTTTCAGCCACTGGTAACTAGAAGTGAGCCTGCCTGTCAGTACAAATCAGTGCCACTGTCGATCGTGAAACGTCTGCTGTTTTCAACACTGCTGGGGAAAAGAAACCGTCCTCCCCTGTCTGTCTTGTCATAATGCAAAGTGGAGTAGTTGTAAGAGTTATCTAGAGAAATGCTACACTAGCTGCTGGCTTTTGGTTTTTGCTCATACTTGGGCAACAATAAAACAGTTAAAACTGGGACGTCCTGGAATCTCTGTCCTGTCTGGAGTAGGAGAAAGTTTTCAGCTACAGCATGGGGCAACTTCTGAGACCAGAAGAGTTGCATACAGCATGATTTATATACGGTATGAGCTGCATACAGGATGATTTATTATATTTTTTAATGTTTCACAAGTACAGTAGGTTCTTCCCTAATTTTCTGTGAAGGAAAGATTAAAGGGCATTGTGGAGTCTCTGTTTCTTTATGTCACAGTTGGATTGTTGGTGGATAATGCACTCTGATTGCTTCCCTAGACTTTGAACTTTGTCTCTAGCTTTTATTTAACCATTTGTCCCTGTTGTTAGATGTTTCTGTGTTCTGTTTAGCAGCAATTTGTTTGGCAAAAAAAAATAACAACCAACAACTTTGGTTTTCAAATTTTGTATTATTTTTTCAGCAAAAACTTGTCTAGGCTTAGAAGTGTCCTGTGAATAGTTTCCAGAACTGTCTTAGTAAATGTCCGTATATAAACATGTCCTAAAATGATCTCGTGGTTACCAGGAGATTCTGACTTTTTCCTGAGGATTCACTTGCCATTATTCATTAATCAAGGTGCTTCCTTACCTAGATTTTGTTTTCATCTCTCCCTTAGGGAAGAAATAGCACTTTGTGTTGACAGAGTTACAACAAGATGTTTAGCTAGCAACAAAATAAAGTCCGAGGGGGGTGTCTGGATCATCTGCCAGTGAGGCAGAGGGACGTGCTTAGCATGTCCAGAAATCAGATTTTTCTCACTGAGGTGCAATTTCTGTAAATTTCTAAGTCCACTTACACAGTTAAAAGCTTCAACTCAGACCTACTTAGTATGATACTCTAATTATGGATGGTAGAGAAAACTATATTAGCTTAAAATCTTTTCTTAATGCAGAATTAGCTTCTTACAACTTGTAATTTCATCTCCACGCATTTCCCTTTGCTCTAACAGCCATCAGAGATGCATGCTCCAGCTTCAGGTCCTGCAGCTCCTCGGGGCTAACACAGTTCTTCTGTCCTTCTAATGCCCGAGGGTGAGTTAGCAGCACGGCCACTGCAGCACAGGCTGGGCTGGTTCAGGAGGAGTTATCCAAAGCATAAATAGGAAAATGAACTTTGCCACCCGGGTCTGCTGCCGTAGTGTAGCGCGCCCGACTGCGGGGGCCGCGGCGGAGAGACGGCGTCAGTCCCACAGGTAAATGGGAGGATTTCCTAGCGTCTAGCAGGTCAGGTTGCATTGCATTTGGTGTGCATAGAGGTGTGGTGGTGAAATACAAGTAAGTGCAGGAGAGAAACAGGCTAGTGACTTCCAGCTGTCATGCAGAGAGCGGAAGATCTGCTATTCTTTACTGTATGGCATTTTTTTCCAGTTTCTTTTTTGTCCCAGTAACATCATGAAATACCACAGGCTCTTGGGTTAGATTAGGTGATGAGGGGCATAGCTCAGCATGTCTGAGCATGCCAGATGTATTTTGGGCTCTAGAAAGAAGCATGCTACAAGATTTAGTCTGTATTTAGTCACTGGCCTACTTTGCAGGATATTTTGCATTTCTGAAAACTTTCTCAGCAGAGATGTGCCCTTTTAAAAAATCTTTCTGTTTCTTTCTTTAACATATTTAACATGTTTTACAGCTATTTAAGCTTGAAAGTAGTAACAACTAACTGTTCAAATGCTGCCTACATGTTAATTTTTAAACATGTATTTATTCCCTTTCCTCTTTTCCTTTTGATTTTTACCTTGTTAAAGGCAAAGCTTGGCCATTGCTATGCTCTGTCACTTGTGTAAACGCAGTGGACGTCAAGTCAAGCCTCCCAAGTTTTGGAGGAAGCTCTATTTTGAACCATCACCTTGCATAAAATGACAGGAGAGGTGACTTCTTACGTAAGATATCCTCTTCTCCCAGGGCCATATATCCCGTTTCACAGGGAGGGAGATTGTGTAGCTGCCTCTCTGAGCCCTTTACCAAAAACCGTGCTGACAAACTTTGTGAGACTCTTTGGCCTTCATGAGGAGTTTTAGGAGCACACATAAACACACTTGAAGTCTTAATTTCTTTGGGACCATCTGGACTTCTTCTCCCCACCCCTCCCAGGGAAGCTAATAAAGGCAACCTTGTGACTTTGTGGTTTATTTTGGAAGCTGCAGGAACTGGCAGTGGCTGGAGGAGCCAGATTTGGCAAACATTGTCCCGTGAACTCTGTTGTGGTGGGGGAATGTCACAGTCCCCCTGCTCTTCCTTATCCCAGAAATTGAGTCACCACGATAAATTGGTAGGTTGGTTGATAAGTGAAGAAAAGACAGATTTCTGTTGGGAATAAGGATGTGCTTTCATCTTACGGGTCCGAAGGAAACTGGTCTCATATAATCACAGCGTCTGTGGCTACATGCATGGATCTCAGTCAGCTTTGCTCATTTTCAGGAGAGGAAACTGGGGCACCAAGGCTAACTTGGCAAAGGTACTGTGTAAATCCATGCAGGATGAAGAATTTAATCATTAATCTCTGGGATCAAGGAACGACCGTAGTCCAGCACTTCATCTCCTAGCAAAAATCTGATATACATAATAGAAAATTTTTAACAGAGTTTTGTCTTCCTTCACAGGCAAATAAGTGCTAACTCTAATTGTTCCAAATATCATTAGCCTTTTCTGTCTCTGTCAAGTCCTTTTCCCCTCGATGGGCTGAGTGCTCATGAATTATAAAAAGGCAACAAGTCTTCAGACATCAAAAATGCATTGGTGCTTCATGTTCTCATGTTATCTCATATAATAAAAATCCTTATACAAATGTTTTTAGCCATTAAGAGCTTCCAAGACGTTATTTTAGAGTGTAAGGCATTCAAGGACTGATGTCTGCTCCAGGTCTGGAAGAGACATGAGCAACAGTTTTTGAGCCAGTTTGGAGCCTGGAGAAAGAGAGAGACATCTTTTCTGCTGAATATGTGTATTTAGAGAAAACATCAATCCTTGACATCACCTTACGAGTTTTCTAGGAAACACTTACATATAGATGTGGTATTTTCCTGTTGGTTGTTCTCAAGGATCCAGCATCTTAGGAATACATGAAATCTCTTTTAATTTTTAATTTTGCCATTATTTCAGAGGTTTCAAAGACCATTTGTCCTTGATCCTGCAGGACCTACATTGCACTGAGATAATCAAAAGAAATTAAGTATGGTCTTGAAACTGTGGATGTGGGTATAATGTATGAGACTGAAGCAGCTGTGGGGAAACTGAGAGGGAGCAGGAGGTGGGCTCAAGGCTTTTCATCCAATATCCCCTGATCTCTTGAAATGCCTCTTAAAACATGTGGAGTTGGCTGACAGATATTTGCTGCTAAATGTTCATTTAACCCATTGCCACCTCCAAAATGGCACTTTCCTGGAGCCAAACAGCATGGATGAGAAAACAGAGGGTGGGATGGGACGTCTTTGTGGCGACTGCTAACAGAAGAGAAGCAGTCCTCAAAAGAGGCAGATGGTTTGGGCAAATGTGCTTCTAGCTTTTGACCATCTTGACATCAGTGTGAGCCTTATTGCTCTGCCTAGCAGTCTTTTGGACAGTGAAGGTTTTATTTTTTAAAGTCCCTTTCTTCCTGTCCATTTTTTAGTTTGAAAAAGTTCACTCTTTTTCAGATTAGATTAATTAAGATGTAATTCAAAAGTTGATCATAAATCTGAAACTATCAAAAGAAGTACTAAAAGATATCTGTAACAAGGTTTGAATGTACTAACTGCTAGTAATTGGTAACCATCTATAGGAAAGAGCTGAGAGATCAACTTTTTAGTTAAACTTTCCTTGTGGACTTCCCTAGATCTGTAGGAATACATGGGAATATTGCGATTATTGTGCTGTTTCAGTGACTAAGAAGCTGTAAGAAAATTGTATCCTTACTGCATGAGATGTGATAGTGTCAGTAGATGAATATTAATGCTCTTCAGAGTATTTTCAGTGGCATTTTCTAGACAGACATAGATAAAATAATTTTTCAAAGGAGTGCATCCCTGGCTGCAGCTGATAAAATGTTGAGAACTCCACTGAGGTCGGTGGAGCTAGGTGATCTACATCAGCTGGGAATCAGGCTGTATGGTGTGGTCTATATATATATATATATATTCTACATGTCTTATTTTCACTGGGTGCAAAGAGCCAAGAAGAATCCCCCTTCTAGAAAGAGGGTTTATTGCACTGCTTGGTAAATTCAACACAAACAAAACCCTCAACCTTTCTAAATCCTTTTAAACTGCTCAAAAAATTTTCTCAGTCAGTGATATTGCAAGAAACATATTGCTTTGGAGGTGACCTAATTTTAACCTTTTCTGAGTTGCTTCTGATTAGAACAGTCACATGCCGAGGTAGAACCCCATTAGTGGCTTTAAATCATCTGTTTACTTCTCAAAACGTGCATTGTTTTGGGCTCGGCTAAGTATTCCCCCTTTAAAAAAAATTGTTTTATTTTCTTTTTTTTTCTCTTGCAGGACAGAACATCGCAGTTGTACCAGTTTGGGAGCAAAATATGGAATGTGTTTCACTGCTGACCAAAGGCAGCCAAATGAACATTATTTATAGTAGTTTGAAAATCAGCAGTTAGCAGTTTCTTCACATTCTAACACTACCCAGCACTTTCCAGAGAGAACTCATTGTTTACAAGAAATCTGCTTTCCAAATCCGTTACGGTGCCCTCCAGCCCTGACTATTAACTATTTGCAAAGGGGAAGCTAATCTACGGTTTGGGGAAAGATGGCAATGGATGAGTACCTGTGGATGGTCATTGTGGGTTTTATTATTGCTTTTATTTTAGCCTTTTCAGTTGGGGCAAATGATGTTGCCAATTCTTTCGGAACGGCTGTGGGCTCTGGTGTTGTTACTTTACGCCAGGCTTGCATTTTGGCTTCAATTTTTGAAACCACAGGCTCAGTATTACTGGGAGCAAAAGTAGGAGAAACAATTCGGAAAGGTATCATTGATGTTAATCTATACAACAACACTGTCCCACTGCTGATGGCAGGAGAAGTGAGTGCAATGGTTGGTAAGTAATGCTTTCCTGTTCCGAGTAACATTCATTGTGTGTTTGTCATCCTGTTTGTTGTGAATATTGTTAATTAAGTCTTCCCATCTTCTGGACTTGCACATCTGGTTTTGTGTGAATGCAGGCACCTGTATTCCTTTTTTAGACTCCTGTTTTTTAAATGCTTCTAATAATTTACATTTTTCAATGGTTCAGCCATTCAACTAGTAGAAGAAAAAGTTGTTTAACATAATGGATCATATATATGTATTCCTAGGGTACTGAAAAACAGTGTTTTGGAGATTTTTATGCTGGTAAATGGAAAATATGTAAGCATAGCATTTGTGACTGTACAGAAGATCCTACAGAAATAACAGTTTGCAAGGAATATGTACAAGAAGGAATTAACTAAATCATTCTAAAAAATTACAGAAAATCCAAATATATTTGCTTAAACTAATTGTCTAGCTCACCAATTGCAGTTAATCATACACTTCACCCTTGCCCATGGCAAAACTAAAGGAGCAGTAAAGATAGATGGTCACACACTGAAGGTCTCTTTAATTTTTCTGACCCAAACCGACAGCAGCTCAGCGTACCTTAAGAGTCTGCTTCACGTGCTTTTGTTTGCAGTTAAATTAATCTTCATTTAGAACAAATAGCATATTCTGAGATAAGTAACATTAAGCCATGATATTTACTCTTTGTTTATATGCAAGAGGCTTTCTGAGCTTTTGGAGAGCTCCCTCAAGGATCAATAGCAAACCTGCTTTTAAAGGGCAGGAGACAGCAGGAAGGAAATCCTTTTACTGTGGGAGAGGCAACCCAGGCAAGGAGCCAGCCTGCCCATCCCACCACCAGTCTGGCAGGTCCGTGGCATCCCATGACAGGGTGGCATGATTTATACAAGCATCACAGTGTCCTCTGTTGGAAAGGGATGCTCCACTCAAAGATTTTCTTCCTTAAACCTAACCTAAGTATTATTTCCACCTACCCCCTCTAACCTCCCCATGGTTTTCAGGCAGGACCTGCACATGTGATAGGTGAATCCATGCAGAGGTCTACTACGTGATTATTTTCCCATTTCTATGGGGAAATGGGAAAATTTTGCTTTTTTTCTTTTTTTTTTTAATTTTAATGGATCAAGATGGACATTGGGTGCTGGTTTCTGGACTTGTCTGAGGTGGCTTTGTGTGCTTGAGAGCAGGGAGGTGGTTCCCTTGGACTTTTGCTGTTCCTGAGCCTCATGAAGGTTGGCCACCTTCCCCTGCCCAAGAAGAAGAGGGGTTGTTTAGCGAGAAATCACTGTTGGGACCACAGCCACTTCCCCAAACGGTCTCTGTGTGAGGCTGCCAACTTAAACCACATCAAATGCTCTTGGGCCCCCCCATCAGTTCCTCTCTTCTGATATCTTGCAAGGTCAGCTGCAGATTTCTGGTCTTTACCTCAAGCTGTAGAGTGGCTTCTTAGTACCACTCCACCTGCATCATTTAGCCTTCTGCTTCCTGAGGTAGCTCCATCATTTCCCACGGGCATGTGCACGGGAGCAGCGTGCACCATCTGAAATGTAAGGGACCTGCATCTTCTGAACTTCATGTTCTTGACACGCATGATCCCTGTTGCAGGAAGTGTCCTTTTCCTTTTCTGTATCTATTTCTGGCATCCTGATCCTGATCGGGCAAAATTTTAAGTCTCAAGATGCCTCCTGCCGAGGAAACTGGCCAGACGCTCAAACAAAACAACTTATTTGCATGAGTATTTACATAAGCCTGTGTGAAATTCATGACCAGTTGCATTCCCTTCCTCCAGTAAGGTCATTAAGAAGAAATTCCACTTTTTAAATCTCAGAATTAATCACAAGTTACAAACTGCAGATTTCTTTTTTTTTGTTTTTTCTTCAAATCCATCTCCAGCTTTTCTCTGGATGTATGATATTTTTTTTCCTGTGTTTTCTCTGAGCCTTCCTGGATGTTTTCTTTTCCTCTTTCTGTTTTTGCTCTGCGTTTTCTCCTCTGTTTTCTCATGCCTCATGATCATGTTTTTGCAAATGGACTTTTACCTTCTGAATTTCGATGAGGCTTAAATGAGTCAACAGTCTGGGAGAGACCAAAAGTCACTATATCCTCTTTCCAGATGCTGGTGGAAGATCCTTTGATGCTTGCAGCAAACAGCAGATGGTGATTTTCAGGGCGACCTTCTCTCCTAAGAGAGAAGGAAGCAGGGAGCAATGGGATTGAGATTTTAAAATGTAACATTTTGTAATGATTTGTTGCATATTAAAATGTTGTTTGTTAGGCATTTAGGAAGTTAGGGACTGTTGCTTTTTGGGGTAAATTGTAGTACTTCCCTAGTGTTAACTAATTGTCAGGTTATTGTCAGGAATTGCCTGAGCATTGTTGTAGTGGTCCTGGTGGGAGCTGAAGTCAGCAGCTGCTGCGACCAAGGAGCTGCCACCAACAGAGGAGACATCTCAGCCAGGATTAGCAAAGCAAAGTCCTAAACCAGTCTTGCAGGTGGCATGGTACTCAACGGGGACTCCCACCTGGCACATAGCACCGGAGCCTCAGGAGAATGGATGTGGTGCCTTCAGCAGCAGGGGAGCATGAAATGCACCCTGACCTGAAAGCCAGCGCTGGTGACTCTTGGTCAGGGCAGTCCTCAGCCAACCCTCTTTCTTTAGGAGATAGCAACTGGGAGGAAAGGGTATGTGGCCATGGTGTCAGCAGGCGGGAAGAGTCTGAATTTGGGACTCTGTAACAGGTCTAGTGAGCCTCCTGCTTCCTAGGTTACTTTTGCAAAGATAAATATTGAGAACATGCATTTTGTGTTAAAGAGGAGTTAAAGCTCTGATGTAGGTAGTTAAGGCATTGCAAGCCCCAGAGGAAAGTCCTGCTCTGGCTTGATTTGTATTTTCTTCTGTTCCTTAATGTGCTTCCTTAAACTTCTTTAGATCACACATTGTCCTTCTCAGACCATCCATCAATCCTCCACCACTTTTCCTCTTGCTGCCCTGTTTGTTTTCAAGGTGAAGTTGATTCAACAAGAAATAACACTGTATTCTCTCTATTCCCCCCCAACAAAAAACACAGCCCTCATCACACATTTGCAGTGCAGCTGTGGTTTGGTTGCATTTTCCCTATTTTTTAAACTGAGCATTTTGTAATTACATACATATGGCTGGCTTATCTGTTTATTTGGCTCTTTACAGATGTTATCATCTGTTTTCTCTTTCACCTCACTTCCACTTACTGACCTCTAAGCTCATGTCAAAGGTTGCAAAGTGTATTTATTTTTACTTTAGTACAGGGGAAGGGAAGCCAAAAAATTAAAGAGCAGGTGTTCCTTGTTTGAGCTAGAATTTCCAATAGCAATAGGAGAACCAGTTGTTTCGGGACAGTACCCCAAGAGAGATCAGTTTTACAAACTGGTTGACTTCCAAACATAGCTGTGTGTGATACCAGCAAGTCACCGTTTGCAGATGGCTCTATTTCAAGAACTTCAAACCATCTTCTGTTCAGACTGAGGATGGAGGCTGAGATTTTGAGTAACAGCATACCTTCAGTGACCTTGCTTTGGTCACCACCTCTGTCTGCTGCAGATCTGTTAAGAGAGGTGGCACAAGCCAGAAAATACAAGATACCTCATGGCAGTTTGATTGCTGTCATTGAGGTCTCTTTAAAACATGAAAATTTAGTCTTAAGGCCATGAAGCCTTAAGATGAAGAAGAGATCTTTCTAAGAATTCTGTAATATTACATGAGATCCACAGAAAGCTTGTGTCACTGCCAAAATTATTTTGGTGTCCTGAGGTTAGCGCCACTGCAAGAGTAGCAGAGAACCTGGTCCTTGCAATGTGCAAATGAGTTGGAGCACGGTACTGCATGCTCAAGGGCTTGGTGGCCAACTGTGATCTCTTCTAACTACCAAAAGTTGGGACTGAAAACAAATACAAGGCATCCTCTTTGGTGCTTGGGGTTTGTTGGGGTTTTTTTGTTTGTTTGTTTGTTTGGTTTGTTTTTTTGTTTGTTTGTTGTTTTGTTGTTTCCCTCCCCCGCACTAATGGCAAACATCCTTCCTTGGGATGTCTGGTGGGACACCAGGCATCACATTTACTTCATAGGGCATAAGCCACCATCCCCTAGTTAGTTAGGGGATGCCTTATTTCCTTATGCCAAGAGTATCTTTGGCTACTCCATGACTAAGATAATCCTTTTCTGCAGTTCTGAATTTCTCCAGTGCCACAGTGAGCTGCAGATTAAGGCAATGAGAGAGTCCTTTTTCCCTCCTCAGTCCATTTTTCCTACAGAGGTCTCCAGGTGGCCACACGTCACTAAGAGGCATAAAAACTCCCTGCCCTGCAATTTGAGCCTTTCTCTGGTAGCATCTGAATTTAGGAGCATGGGTAGTTCATTAGTGAAACAGTGGATGCCTCCTCACAATGATCACTTGAAGGCTTCCAGGTCTAGCTCTCAAGAATGAGGTTTTCTAAGCTTGATGCAGGCTGGGAGCAGTTTGTGTATTTAATCAGACAGGCTGTAAATACTAAGAGACTTTAAAAAACCGAAACAAAACAAAAAATCAGAACTGTTGTGTAGTGCGTGCAGTGTAAAGAGCTTTTATTAATAAAAAGTCACGAGTAAGATACAGCATTCAAAGCTGCTATTAAACTGTCTTTGTATCTGCTTTTAGAGACAGAACAGGAACAAAACTCTCATTAGGAGATCTCTGTTACGCATGTGGAGTGTAGGCAGTGCTTGTAAAAGAATGTGGGTACATGGTGAAGAATTTTCTGTGTGACATTATTGTTATTGTTGTTGTCTATACCATATGGTTGGGTTTTTTTATTAGGTTCTGCTGTTTGGCAGCTGATTGCATCATTCTTGAAACTCCCGATATCGGGGACCCATTGCATCGTAGGCGCTACAATTGGATTTTCTCTGGTGGCAATTGGCACGCAAGGAGTCCAGTGGATGCAGCTTGTCAAGATTGGTAAGTGTTTCCTTTTATGCGTGAGGGTATGTGAAATAGTGTGCAATGGCTGTAAAAAACATTCCTTGAAATCTGCTTTGTGCTGGTAGCACTTCCTCCTTAAATTATTTCCTGCCCCAGTCCTGTCATTCAGAAGATGACTGATGCCATGTTCAGTAAGGGCTGCAGTGTGTTTCCACTGGAGAAAGGGGTAAGACGCAAGTTGCACTTCCCCAGCAGTAAGCTGAGGAGATGTTGTCCCTTAGAGACATGATTCAAGGTGACATTCCTCCTCTTCTAATTCTTTTTGTGGCAGCTCATGCCACCTCATTTTTGCTCTCATGTGAATGCCCACAGTCATGTTTCTCCACCCACCAGCTTCAGGGAGGCGAAAGCTGGGCATGCAGCACATGTTTAACTCGCAGCCTCCCACTGCCAACATCAGCACAGCCAAGCAGGGATGTGAAGGAGTTTTCATTATTGTTTTGGAAGCCTTGTAACCCGAGTTGCAGCCTAAACCCTTTATTAAAAATATTTGATGCTGAAGGCACGGAAAGACAATTGAGCTTTAGAGAAGTTGGAGCAATGCATATTTTTTTCAAATTCAGTTGAAAGTAGAAGAGAGTTTACAATAACAGCAGAATCAGTCTGGTAACCATGCCACAAACAATAAATCACTCTGGATGAGATTTCCAGAGTGCTGCCCTAATCTGGTTTTATTGAAATCAGTGGGAGTTTTGCCACCTACTTCAGCTAAATCAGTCCTGGACACTTGCAAATCTGGCCTACAAAAAATGTACATGCATTATTCATTACAGCTGATGCTGCTATGACATTCTGGAAATCGAGCCTTTACCATGTGAGCAGCATGGCATCCTGCTAGATGCAGTTGCTTTCCACTTGCTTGCAACATTCATGGTCATGGTGATTAGGAAATGCCAGGGCTTTCTTGGTCCACTCTGCCTCAAACTACAAGAAACTTTCCTGATGAGTTTGATTGCTAAACTTGCAAAATTATCGGGAAATGTTTTGGCCTAGCATTACTTTGACTTTCATGAGTGTCAGTGGACATTGAGTTGCACCAGTTGTAAGTAAACATATAAAACATTAATTCCAGTTGTACAAGAACTGTTTTAAATTTATTGCTCATTAACTACTTATTACTTAACTCTTTTGCAAGCATACTGTTTATTTCATGTTCCATTCTTTCTTTTCTTCAACACAGTTGCATCTTGGTTTATTTCCCCACTGTTATCTGGCTTGATGTCTGGAGTCCTCTTCGTGCTGATTAGATTCTTCATTTTAAACAAGGTAAAGAAATCTCACTATTATAATGAGTGCTCAGTATGAAGGCTCTGTTCTAGGCTTCAATTTGAGTGCTGGCGTTTCCAGAGTTGAAAGTTTGTGGCTTACTTTGTGGACAGGAGACCAGTCTTTTTTTTTTATAGCCATTGGAACAGTACTTGTTGTTAGCAGCTCTGAAAACTCAGAGTAAGTAATTTGACAAGTGTTTGAGGCTTAGAAAGTGCTATGTGATAATTAGTACTGTATATTCTGTTTGATTAAAGGATGGTACATTGAGATTGCTTCTGTATTAGTACAAACTTGTTGGCATTGACTTGGCCTCATGGTAGCCATTCTGACTGTTATTTAAACAGAACAGTCCTCCCTTGGAGATACTCTAATTGTTATTTGATAGTTCTGAAATTTTAAGCTTTGGTTTTCTAGCATATCAGATGTTAGAAGATGGGCGTCTACATATTTCCTAGATTCTCAAGGAACTTGAATTGATGGGTTTTAGTGACCTCAGTCAAAAGTGGCAGCTTTGAAGTCACATCAGTCCATATATCTCCAGTGAGGAAGATTATTTCCCTGACACCCAGCATGAACTGGAAACCAGAACACTTTTATCTGCTCTTCACATTTGTTTCACACTATTCAATTTGCTAAAATGGGGGAGTGCAGTGCATGACAATGACCTAAAATAAGAGACACTATATTAGCAGTTATACAGGGAACTTAAATAGATGAGGGATTAATTCTTTTGCTATAAATAACACTACCTGTAACCTCCACTTCATCATTCGTTATTTCTGATATAAATAAATGTCAGCGATAAAAGCAGATGATAAATTTGGTTGGACTCAGCTTTGAATTTAAAATTACTCAAGTTGCATAAAGGATAAGGAAAAGCTCCTCTATTGCATTCAAAACCTAACAAATTAAGAAATTAGTCATCAAAATCACATGAACTCTGGTATAAAAGCCACATATTTAAGCATTCAAGAGGCAGAAAAAGTTCAAGCTAAGGAAGTTGTCGCTGACTGCCATCTGTGCCATTCGGAAAGTAGTGAGATCTGTAGAGTTTCTTGCATAAGCAGGTAGCAACTCTGGCGTTGTGTGCGTGCATAAAAAAGAACAGATTTTAGCTTGCAAGTCCGTGCCCTAGTGTAGGAGTTCATGTCCTTGTTGAGGGTGCCTGTGCTGCATCACGCTTTGGGACCGGGGCATAGCACAGGGCGGCTGCAGCCTTCTCTCAGCTCCCTTTTATAGCTCATGGCAGCAAGGAACAAAACCACATTAGCCAGCCATTAGCTTTGCCAGGTTTTTTGCAAACACGTGAAACCCCTCAAAAGGCCAAAGCAGTCTCCTCACAAAGAGACTCGCACGGTGTGTTTCCGCTGTGCCATCAGCTGAGCCTTTCCTTCTGAGCACTGAGGGCCCGAGACTGAAGCAGGGGCAGCAGCATGCTAAACACTGCACACTCGCTTTATGTATGGTACCTGTTTAATATGGCCAGGCACTTAATATTTCAGAGATTTCTGCTGGCTGGTGGAAAGTGCCAGGCTGTCTCAGTCAAAACTGGACAGGTTAGGAATAAAGTTTTGCAATGGGGGCATTGGTGCTTGTAGCTCCACCTCAAAAATATCGAAGCCTTGTCCTGCTCAGCACCCTTCAGTCGTGCCAAGCGAAAGGGACTCCTCATGCTGGAGACAAGATAGGTAAGAAAACACTCGCAGGAAGAAACCTGACCCCAGGTCACCCAGCAGGTCTGCAACCAACCCGAAAGTACAACCTGTCTCCCTGATTCCCATTAACAGTGTCAAGCTTCCACAGAATGCTGGTGCTTGCCAGGACCAGCGTTGTGGATTTGGGTGTAAGCAGACAGGTCACCATCCTTTCCTAACCATCCACCCAAAAGCTCCACCTGCCTGGCACTGACTGGGGACCATGTGTTTTTCTCATGGCATTTCATGCTGACATGAATCTGGTGGAAAATCCAGCTAATGTTTCCTTTTTTCCCCGATTTCTACACAGGAAGACCCTGTGCCCAATGGTCTACGTGCACTTCCAGTGTTTTATGCTGCTACCATAGCTATTAACGTGTTTTCCATCATGTACACGGGGGCACCAGGTGAGTGAGCCATCCGCTGCGGGAGGCAAGGGAGGGAGGCTTCCTGCAGCATGTGATGATGCTCTGCCAGCGTGCTGTCAGGTAGCTGTCAGCACCACATGGTTATCTCCTATGTCAGGAGTTAACGAGGGCAAGAGTAAATCATACACCTCCCCACATGCTTCTCTTTGTGCGTGTGCTTTTGTGACTCCCTCCTGATCACTCGGGTTAGTGGGGAAGAGCACAACTACAAAAAAACCCCTCTGTAGGGGAAGGGAAATACTGAGCTGCCAGCTTCGGCTTCGTAAATCTGAGCACGCGTGGAGCTCTCAGAGGTATTCCAGAGATGTGCATGAAGGAGGGAAGGTTGAAAGTGGGCAGTAAGAGCAGGTAGGCTGTTTGCACTCAGTCTAATGCTAAAGCTCCACTGAGATCAGCAGAGTCATTGCTTTGGCAGATCTGGCATGGAGCCTGTTAATTACATTTACTTCTTTATTTCCCTGCTATGATAAGAAGCCCCGAGCCTGTTTCTGCTGCACTGAATGCATCTTCTTTCTTGGGTGCTGTGTTTTCATTGCAATTCAGTAGGAGATGATACATGCCATTTTCAGGACTTTATTTATATTTTTGTATATTTGTGTATTTCATGTGCATTTATGTTTGTGTTTATATTTGAACTTATGTTTATATTTTTATAATTTTGTTTGTATATTTATATTAACACATTTTATGTTTATATATTTGCATTTATATGTTTATATTTAACTTTACACAAGGTGTACATTTAAACACACACTTGCAGAAGAAGAGTTCAGAAAAAAGATGTTCAGTGCTCTTGACTACTTTATTGAAGACTCTGGTCATTAAATGCTATCTTTAGACTAGATTATTGCCCCAGAGCCATGAATGCACAGGCAATTGAAGAGACACTCCTGGGCGTGCCCCTGAATTAAGAAAGCAGGCTTAGAAAGTGACTTTTTTTGACTAGAAATGTGTTTTCTCCAAAACCTAACACACTAGATGTACTCTATAAATGCAGTTAGCAGACTTTACTTCATAGCATAGCATTACTGTAATTAATAAAAAGCTTGAGAAGTTCCCAGTCTGAGGATAACATAACTCAACTATTCCTTTTTCTTAAGTCTAATTGGCTGTGTACCCAAGATGTTTCACAGTAAATCAGCTGTATAACCAACATTTCCTCATTAATTGTACTGCAGAAGTAGGTCAGGCACTCTGCAGTGACTCATTAAGCAAAATAAATGAAATAAGAATCTTAATGTCCCTTCTGTTTCAGCTTAGCAGTCTCTAAAGTGCATGAATAAAAAGGTGAGATTCCATTCTTGATACTCAGGGAATACACACTTACTCTCCAAGGCCTCTGTTCTGGCAACATGTACTCACAAGGATGAATTAATCATATAGGTTTCAAGATGGGCGTGCATATATAGGTTTGAAAGATCAGAGTCCAAGCACTTTCTTCATTAAGGGTCTGATCATTTAATTGAACAAGCTCAAGGAGCTCTGTTGAGGAGATACTTACAGGAACAGGAGTTACTGACATGATTGTGCATTGCTGGACTGAAATCTCAGCTCTCAAGTGCTACATGAAGCTATTATCATAAGCAGATAATGGCTTAGATTAAGCTAAGCATCGGGCTTTGTTGACCAGAGCAAAGGTCGGGTAAATACTTACCCTAATGGGCAACATGGTTTAAGGTGCATTAGTGTATAAAATCACTGCAAACTTGTTTTAGCAGCCCTGATGTGGAAGTTTTATCCTTGACTTCTTTGGAAGTAAGGTCACAGTAGAGTAAAAAAGAATTAGAAGAAAAAATCTGCAAATATTTTCATGTCAGCTAGACCTTTAAATACTGCAGTAACTGATATATATGTTAAAATTGATCAGCTCATTCATGTTGCTTTAGAATACTTTGTGAACACAGGCTTTTCTGCAACAGACTGTTCTTTCACTGCATGAGATAAAGTTATGTTAATTTATGGTTTGCTTGGGTTTTGTTTCTTTGTCTTCACAGTACTGGGACTGGTACTGCCAATGTGGGCCATCGCTCTAATATCAATTGGCGTATCCTTAGTATTTGCCATCTTAGTCTGGTTTTTTGTGTGCCCCTGGATGAAGAGAAAAATAGAAAGTAAGTAGTTGCTTGATGAAATATGAGTGATGTAAAATCATGGAAAGTTTAATTTAAGATCTGGAAGTGCCCTTGAGATGTCCTCTAATCCAGTCCTCACTCACAGGCAAGATGTGCTTAAACTATTCCTCATGTATTTGTGTAACCTGCTCTTAAAAACCTGCAGTGGTAGAAATTCAAAACCTTGCTAGGCAACCCATTGCAGTGCTCACTTCTTCTAGATTCTAGCAGAAACAGGAAAATAAATCCTGGAATATAATAAATTTTATAGTTTATTAAGGAAACATTAAAGAGGAAAAATCTGGCAGAATTATTATCTTTAAGTGACTTCTTAACTTCACAGTAAGTTAGGCTGATCACAGCTTTTAGCTTTACAGTGTTTTGCTTGTTTGTTTTGCTACTCTCAACAAATGCAGTGTTTAAAATGCAGAGGAAAGTTTCAGATTTCATTAATAAATGAGCAGCTTGGTGTTTTACATCAGTTACCACTTCAGCTCATTTTGTAGGAAGAAAAAAAGATTTAGAATTTTCTCAGATGAAATCCGTAAAGAAATAAATAAATAATGTGTATGAAATGGAGCCAGGTTATTGTATCCACGTTGATATATGCAATTGATGCAAACAGTGGAAACATAAGCAGCAAGACAGATAGGTTGGGTTTAAAATTACAGTACTGTTATTTCCTTAGGCCGGTTAAAGAAAGATGCTGCACTGTCAAGGATATCAGATGAAAGTCTTGATAAAATTCAAGATGAAGAAACACCAGTCTTTAAAGAGCTTCCCGGTGCCAAAGCATCTGACGAGAGCACGATTCCCCTTACTGGCTCAGTAACAGAAGCTGCTGGGGCATCAGATACTATTGCAAATGGGAACCATCCACGTGTACCGTATGGTAAGAAACTAAGACAAGACAGAGGGTTTATCTTCTCCCTGTTTCAACAGGGTTTCTTAACTGCAAGGAGGTCTCTATTGTAAATGGTAAGTTAGTGTTCGGCATTTCCAGCTCTAATCCCTCTTCAGCACCTGTTGGGAAAGACGCTCATTTACAAGTGACATTTTCTACAGAGGGCTTAAAGACAATTACATTTTGTTTGGCTGTATTTTAATTTTAGAAACAGCTGAAAACAAAAATTGTTTTCCTTTTTGCTTTACTTTGTATCCTTAATGGTGTTTCCATCCTTTTAAGCTGTGTAAAAATAGAGAGAACACAAATTGCTGATGTGTGAAGGTTAAATTCAGCATAAAGATGATTAGCATGCTGCCACAGGAGATGAAAAGATTTGGGCTTTAGTTGACAAATGTATGACTGTTTGGAGCGTGTCCACTGGAAAAATCTCACACATTGTTTTCTGAACGTATATTTATAAGAAGTAGGCTTGTGTGCATAAAGCTCTTTTTGTTCTCTCATGTGGTGGGGTTGCAGCCCCTGCCTCCACTTAGCAGTCTGCTGACTTTGATATCTCTTTGCTAACATCTACACAGCCCTGTAATATGGTTAATAAATGCCTGATATATTCAACTGATTCTTACAAAATCAAATAAGTCATGACGTGAAGCCCTTTGAGTGTGTGCTTCCAGTTTAAAAATAGCTAAAGCCAATTCTGAATGTTGCACAGTGGAAATCTGTGAAGTCAGGAAATGAAAAAGATAGTTTCTTTAGAAATACTGCCTTAGCTGTGGCGTGTCCTACAGCACACACTAATCTTAAATGTATACAGTGGGAATGACCATCACTATGTTCGTAGAAACAAGATAGACAAAGTGTTGGAATAGCTGGGGAAATATTTCTGCCAAATACAAACTTCTTTGCTTTCTGTTTTTTTTTAAATTATTTTAAAAGTTATGTAAATGTCTCTTAAACATAGGTACTTTTGAAAGGTGACCTCATATTCAGTATGAAATTACAGTAAACCACCTGAATCCTGAAATCCTTATTTTGCCTAATCAATGTAGACAAAACCTCAGAAAAAGTAGAGCTTATTTTACAAGAAAGGAATTTTATAGAAATTACTTTCAAAGAACCCGAGGATTTAACCTTCGAGTATCACTTTTGAGTAGCCAATCCAAAGTGACTTGCTGCAGGTCATACAGCACGTCTGGGGAGACCCAATGCTGGAACACAGCTCTTTTGCACAGAAGATGACAGAGTTTATTTTGTAGTGAATTTAATCTTGGCTTATTCACAGCAAACATTGCAAATTGATCTTATTTGTCCTGTACTCTTGCATCACTGCCATTTTACAAAGTGGGAGGGAGGGGGCTTCTGTATTTCATTTTATAGAAATAAAAACTCTAACTCTCTGCCTTTTTAGGAAGAGCGTTTTCGATGACGCACACCTCAGTGAAATCACCTGTTTCCAATGGCACCTTCAGCTTCGATGGCCAGATGAGGAGTGACGGCCACGTTTATCACACTGTGCACAAGGACTCAGGTTTATACAAAGACTTGCTCCAGAAAATGCACCTGGACAGGGCCACCGATGAGAGGCCCGCTCAAGAAAACAACTACAAACTGTTACGACGCAACAACAGTTACACGTGTTACACAGCTGCTATTTGTGGCATGCCTGTGCATTCCTCTTTTAAGGTAGCGGATACGTCGACTCCAGAGGACAGTGAGAAGTTAGTGGGAGACACTGTTTCCTACTCCAAGAAGCGAGTTCGCTATGACAGCTACTCCAGCTATTGCAATGCAGTGGCTGAGGCAGAGATCGAGGCGGAGGAAGGCGGGGTGGAAATGAAGTTGGCCTCTGAACTTGCAGATCCTAACCGGCCCCCAGTTGATCCTGTGGAAGAGGATAAGGAAGAGAAAGACACGTCTCAGGTCCATCTACTTTTCCACTTCCTCCAGATCTTAACAGCTTGCTTTGGATCCTTTGCCCATGGAGGTAATGATGTCAGGTAAGAGGACGAGATCTCACAAACCAGCACTTTTATGGTTTAAGTGCTTGGAGCAAGGTTTACCAGCTTGGACAGTTGGAAAACATATTAATTTCTGCAGGCAGATGATCATCAGGGCTGTGTTTTGCAAAGCTTGTGACACTGATGTCCCTATTGCTTTCCAGGAGTTAGGCTGCTCAGTCTGTGATTTATTTTCTTCTCAATGGTAACGTCTTTTTTATTCACTACTAAATAATTGTTCACTAATTAGTTTGATTCAGGTTTAATTTTGGCAAGCTTCAGGGCATTGAGACTCCCCCTGGCATGCCAGCCACTGTAAAAGCAAACAGGACAGTCCCAGCCCCGCAGAGATCACAGCCTATTTTAACTACAAGATCTGAGACCATCAGCAAACAAGAGGTTTAGATTTTTGTCATTAGATTAATTTAATCTCTTGTCACAGTGCGAAAAGAAGCGTGTGAAGAATGTCTTCGTTCTGATTGCTGCACCCCTTGTAGACTTCCCGTGGCTGAATCTTTTGCTTGGAGTTTTCTAGGTGTCCAGGACCATGTGAGGCAGTGTATCACTAAATAGCCCAGAAAATCTAACAAGCCTTAATGTCAAAGTCCTACTGGAGTTCATAAACTGCACATACAACTTCTCCAGCTGCCACAGTTCTCTTACCAAAATAAAGGGAGCTACCCCTGAGGAGCCCTGGACATGTTCCCTTGCCCCCATACTGAGGGGACATGAGCTATGACTCATCTCCTAGCGCTCAGTTAAGAAGCTTTCCATCTCTCAGCATGGTTCTGGTACACAGTGCTCCTTGGCAGGAGTTTTATCCAGAGCCGCTATCACCATTGAGTTGCTTCCTTTGGAAGAAGCCAGTGAGTTCACACTTCAGTCATTTGGCCTAAGTGTGTCTGTCCCTAAATCCCATGGCATTAACATCATTTCCCAAGAATAAAGAAAAAGGATCATGCTCCAAGAGTCTTTCTCTTGTGTTCATATTGACTCAGGCAGCTGACAAAATCTTGAAGTTGATCTCCGAAATGTTTATCTGCACCTCTTTGCCCTCTGTCATCTGGTCAGACCCCTGCGAAATAGTGTCCCTTCACTCACTCGTTTGCCAGCCTCTTTCCTTTCAAAGGCTCAGCTCTGTTTTATTCCACAAAGTACAAGACTTTTCACTGAAGGACAAAGGATGTAGGCTCAGGATGGAGCATTTTATACCTTCCTCATCTGCACTCACATTGCTCATCTACTTATGACATTGCTTCATCTGCAGGGCTCTATTGCACTTTGCCATCTCGGTGGCATGTGGCTGAAGGGCATTTTGGGTGGTTTTGCTCCATCCCTGGAACATTGCATATTTGGCTGGACTGCCTGTTCCCTGGGCCTGGAGCGATTCACTTGGTATTTAGTAGGCGCTCTTTCCTGTATCGTGATAACGTCCTCTGATAAATCCACTCAGAAGCTGCTTGTCGAAGCAGCAGTCCATATTTGGGTTGTAGCTGGGGCTGTACTGAGTCTCCTTCCCACTGAACCCTTGCCATGTTAGCTGTACCCTGCTGGCGTCGGTTTCAGCATTTGCAGTGGGGCTTTGCAGCCTTCATAACTCTCAGTCCTCCTTAGGCATCTGGGCAAACACCGTCCCACTCGGCAAGGAGAATGGTTATTGCTCCTTGCTCTTGTCAGCCACCTGATTTAACTCACAGCTCATCTCAAAAACATACAAACATGTCTGTTCCCTTCCTGTCCATCCAGTGCCCTGGGAATTCAGAATAGGGCTTTCTGAAGAACCTTCTTGTCCTTGCTCTGGTTATTATTCCCTTCGTATCTGCAGAGATCTGGCTCTGGGAGGGAATCCAGGGTCCCCTCATCCTCTGGATTGGAGGGCAGTGGTGCAACTAACTTTCCTCTCAGATGGGCTCCGTTGATCAAGACCTCTGCTCTGAGGACACTGGGTAAGAGCAAAGACCCATGAAAACCATTACACCATTGCAGAAAGTTCACAGCCTACCCCAGGAGGTGCCTCTGCTCCTTTATTCCCTGTAGGTGATGTCTATACATACTCCTCAGGGACTCACATGTTTGTGCAAGCATTGCTTGCCTTTTCTGAAGGAGGCAAGGGTAGTAAAGTTTGTAGAAGTGATCTTTAAGGACACAGTCGGTTCAGAAATCAAATTTGATGTTGATAGCTGGACAGGATGAAATACAAGGTTTAGACTCTGTGCAGTATGCTTTGTTGCATCTTACAGCCTAATTCTCCAAGAATTCTGCATTTGGACTGGCTTGTTGCCTTGGCAATATCCTTCCCTGAAAATTCATGATTTTTAGTGTTTTGCAGATCTCTACTTCTGTTGATGATCCTACCAAATTTGCCAGCAAGCATGCTTTTTTATGAATGCTGTTTATTCCAAAATATCTTCTTAAGCTGAATTCATGTAATTGCATAACTAAAGAACAAGTTAGCTTCATTTTGTCAGAGCTGGTAGAAATGCAAGAAGATGGTCATGGGTGTAGGACTGGATAGGAACCCATCATTGCAATTGTACTGAGTTCCAGCTAAGCAATAAAAATCAAAGATCACTTGGTGTGCCAAAAGGGTTGAGTAGATAAAACACGCTGGGAATGCAGCTATCTACCCTGTGGATTATGTAGCAGAAACATTTTGCCAGTCTTTGTCTAGCAGGGCAGAAGACTTCTCGCTGGGCTCTTGGCTTTTCCGCATGGCGCATAAAGATCTGCAGAGCTTGAAAGGCAATGCGTTGTTTTAAAAATAATGCAGTACAACATAGTTAGTAGCACAGCTTTCTGTCCACATTTCTGTAAGAAACCAAGCCTTGGCAATCCATCTTGCACTGAAGGCTGCTATCTTTTCATCTCCCTCCTTCGTTCACTTTCCTTCTGCTCATTCTAGGTGCTGCTGTCAAGCTGCTTCTCTATTTTTGTTCTTAGCCTTGAATCCTGTCGTTAAAATCTCACTTTCCTCTGCATTTGGTTTTAAGCTCCTCACTCATATATTTAGGACAGCACCTCTGTTGTCCGCATCTTTTTGTTTGGACTTGTCTCCTACATTTTAGTTCCTCATTGTGGAACTCGCTCTCATCCCATGTTTTCAATTTATTTTCCATCAGGCTGTCTGCTAGTATTCCTTGAAGGGATAGGAGCAGATAAGAGGAGCAAAGAGAGAAAAAATAAAAGCTAATATTAAAATGAAAAACTGCAGGTAGTTAAATGATTGACCTGTTTCAGAGCATGTATAAGCGTGAGGTATACAGTACAGACTGAACCATGGTGCAGCTCAGAAACACTTTTTGGAGCAGAAGTGCCCCATATAGTTTGTATAGCACTTTAGTGGGCAAAAAATGATATGGAGATCTCTCTTGTTTCATTGTCCAGGCTTTTCCCCTGGACCTGGGAGAGTTAAATCAGTATTTTGTCTTTAACTGCAGAACTAACTCATAATAAGGGTATCTAGACCCCAATTTCTACCAAGGTTATGCTTTTGAGCACCCTAACGATACCAGCCATCTTTGCTGTAGGAGCTGATGTTTGTAGTGATCAGGGCTTGTGTTTAGGCTGACATCAGCAGGGATCCTGACCGGGGCAGTTGTGCGTTAAAAGAAACAGGCAGTCATGGTAACTCCTTATTTGGGTGCCTGTTTTGTTCAGAGCATCCCCTCCTGCCCCCCTGCAGCAGAGCTTATATGGGCTGTGTCAAGGATGCTGGAGCCCTTCCAGGGCTGGGACTAACTGAGCTGGGCCGAGAGCCTTGTGACACCATCATGCACATGGGCTGAATGAAATCTAAAGAATTTAAAATCCCCACTAAATGTGTTGGGACAGAACCACTGAAAAAAATGTTGTTGTTGAACTTAATTAGCAGAGCCAAATGAGCAGGTCCCACTGGCTCAGCACCCGTGCACAAAGGGAGCATGTCAGGTCACTGCAAGGGCAACAGGAGAATAAAAAGGGCAGGATGGAAAAAAAGACCTAGGCCAGGAGTGTGACACAAGGAGAGCTGCCAGCTTCCTAAATGCTTGCTCAGAGCCAGCTTTCCAGAGAGGCCGGGAGGCTGGGCTTTGCTGGCTGGTGGGGATTATATACACCTATGGTTGAGTTGGAC